ATTATTTATTAAAAACTTGATCGTTTTAGAATTATTTTATTATAATTTATTTTAATGTGTGACATAAGAAAATGATCGTCACTGTAAAAAATTTATCCTTTCAGTTGTTATGAAAAATCACATGACTACACTCTACCCTTAATAATAGAGTTATTAAGTACTTAATAACTTGGTCATTTTTCAAATAATTTTTACGCCCATCACTAGTGACAAGGTTTGGCTGTAATAAATAGTAAATAGTAATAGTTAATTTTTTTGTGATACCGCTAATCATAATTACTAAAATCGTGCAAATAAATTCTTTAGTCAATAATGATATCTATCATCCACTATGAGTTTTGCTAGTGAAATCGATTTTTCTGCCATGTCTTTTAAAGAAATAGATGAATACAGCGTAGACGATGTTCTTACATACCTAAAAGATAACATTAAAGGTTCCCTGGATGAAGATGATCTTGGAATTCTTAAAAAAAATAAAATCGATGGTGCTGCCTTGCTTCTTCTGACAGAGGAAAAACTATTACATCATCCATATAACCTTGCTGGAGGACCTGCCAGTAAAATCGCAGCTGAGATTGGAAAAATAAATGATTGTTTCAGTAAGTTTGCTCTATTTTTTTTTCCCTTAGGATTACTTCTGGCATATATCTACTTGAAATAAAAAAAAAATCAATTTTTTGATTACGTTATTTATAACTAATTCTCTATTCAGAAAAACAAACTATCTACTGCGTTGCTCATTATAGAAACCATAAAAAGATATTTCATTTTAAAACTTCATTTGTAAAACCTTCGTGGAGTGATTTACAGAAAAAAATTATGAAAGAGATGGAAGATTTTGAGGAAGAAAACATTCGAATCAAGTCAAAATCTTTTGAAGATGAAATAACTAGTCAAGATACCTTTGACTCATTTATGGAAAGTATTGAGACAAGTGAAAATAATGTAAAAAAAATTGAATTCACAGTACTTTGTGTGTATTCTCTCATTTCGTATATGTTAAAAAATATACATCATTCTAACAATTTCTCTTAATATTTAGCACAAAGGGATTACTCTTATTTCACTACAATTAAAAAAATTGCAAAAATATTTGGGATATCTGCAAATGAAATCTCTGATTTGGATGAAATAAATCTTCGTAAGTAATTTACATATATTATTGACTTCTTTAACATGAATGTTAATTGATTTTTGATATGCAGCTACTAGATCAGATATCAACAATTCTGAAATAAAAGAAGTTATTAATGATACATTTAAACGTATAAAGGTTTGTTTCAAGCTATTTATGTGTCTTGGTGCTCTTGACATGTCTTATTCACAATATTATTTGTTTAAGGCCATTAAAAAATCAAGCATTGACATATCTCAAGCAAATGAAATGGAACGTTCACTATATATTGAAGCTATTTTGCGTGGTGTTGCAAATACTTTTCTGGATATTATTTTACATCTACAGTTCTATATTTCTGGCCCTGAAGGGAAAGGACGTGTAGACTTTGCTGCATCTAATCTTCAACAATTAATTTGTGTAACTGAAGCCAAGCGCTTCCAGATTGAAGAAGGGATATCAAATAACTTTATACAACTACAAAGTGCTTGTAAGGTAATTATTATTGTTATTCCTATTTGTTCACATTAATTTTAAGTTCTTTTTTAAGCAAAATCTTTTGTTTAGCATAATAAGAGGAAAAGAGATGACATGGATTCTATCGAATATGTATATGGCAGGGTTGGCAAATGTGTGGTCCATTGGTGGTCCATTGATGGTCCATTGGGTCCATTAGTGTAACATTTTAACTATATTTAGTATTTTATTAATGGCAATGGACCAGCTCAAAGTCCATCAGTTCTCAATGGACCAGTCAATTTGCCAACCCTGGTATATGGCATTGTCTCCACAGGGGATTTATGGTATTTTACTGTATTTACATCAAATAATAAACTGGCTACAACATATAAACCAATGATTCTGACTGTTAATGGACAATGTGATAATGAAGACTGCAATCATGAAAACTGTAATGATGAAACTTTACTACAACAATTAAAAAACCTGTTTGCTACAATTAGAGGGCTTATGCAAGAGAAGCTAGAAAGTCAGGGAGATGATTCTGAAAAGGGAGAAAATAGGATTAATATGATTATCAAACGGAAAAGACAGAAAGTTGAAAATTAATATATTGCTACTTCTGAATTTTATCTTGTTTTCATTTATATGAAAGTGCATATGTATCTTATTAACTATTTTAAAATTGGTGATAATAATGATATCATTGCATTAATTTTTTATTATTGCTATTAATAAAATGTAAATTGCTGATTAAACATAGTAATAGCTTTTGATTTGTGTTCTGCTACTTTGGAATCAATCAATATTAATATATTGTAAATTTAATTTACTCTCCATGTTACTAATTCCCTTATTCGGGAGGATCTACTCTTACACTAAACAGGAAATTTAATTCTAAGCATCCTTAAAAAGATCAGGATTTTAATTTCTATATAAATTTAAGAATACTTTAAGTGTGTTAACTTTGTTCACTTTGTCTGGTTTTGTTGCAGCATGCCCCATATTACAAATCAATATTAATATATTAAAATTTTTTTATTGGTTGTTTACAATGGAGTTTTTCCGCTGATTTGTGGGTTGCTTAATATATTAACCAAAATAAGTTTACGGGAGATACCAATAAAAATTTTAATTCTAAATTTGTACTAGTTACACACCGAAATTTCAAACACTCCCAGAATATTTTTTCTATTATTCGTTTCATCTATTTTATTCGAGTTATTTAACTTAGTATTGATTTTATTATAAACTAACAAGGAAGACTAAAACAAGGTTCGTATTTCTTAAAAGTCTCAGTTTCGCACAATGTGAATTCTCCAAAAATATGAATATGTTGTATGGGTAATAAGTAGAAATTACCAAAATAAGTAATTAACTATAACTCTTTGGTAGAATTTTATCTAATTTGGATCAACGCCTCCATTTCTACTTTATTGCCCCCGTATATGATTGAGAAACTGGTTCAAACCGGTTTAATATTAACAAAATGAAAGATTAAACCCAAGTTATGAACAACAACAATAAAGTCAACATTGGAAGTTACAATCACCCGTCTTTCATCGTTATAATAATTAGTATGTTGGCCTGCTTCAAAAACTTGTAACTTCACCTCTCTCAAGTTCTATTTCAGTCTCTTCATCTAACGCATATATATATATATCATCAAAAATGTAAATTTTTTAGTAACGAGACAATATTATCGACTGTTGGTGATGATGACTTTATTTAAATTATTTGTTATTCATTTTCGTTTAATGTAATCCGAATACTTGAAAAATTGATTACGAGTAGATTGAATAGAGACCCTAAATGCAAATTGTTGTTGTCATCATTGTCATTGTCGTATCATTGTTGCCATTTTAACTTATAAAAAAGCAATTGGTGCACCTAAATATTATTTATATTTATGAGAAATGTCATATAAAAAGTTGAAAAACTGATTTTCGTTTTTATTTTTTATAAAAGTTTTATTAAAAAAAAAAAAAATGATTACTTCTACTTCCTTGCGAATTTTTTTTGAAAGAGATTTCTTTGGGTAATATTTAATAATTTATATTGTTATAAATTATAGTGATAAATATACATAAACTGACATATTTTTAATTATTTAGGTATAGCACCCCGAAGGTTGTTAAAGTTAAAGAGTAAATATCTTTTAAAATTATTTTCAACATTTAATTGATTTCTCTTTAATTTTATAATTAATCAATATTATTTTATTAGTCGAAGAGTTGGAATACTATACAGAATATTTCAGCTTTTGATTGTGATATATATTATGTACAATATAATTAATAATCAATTATATCTTAAAAAGGTAAATCATTAGCACACATAACACACACATATATAATAACTACTAATAGTCACTAATAAACTATCTGCATAATTTTGATAGGAATCACCTATAGAAGGAGCAATAAGAATTTCTTTAAAAGCTCCCGATAAATTTTCCGAAGTATCACCAACATATTGTAATAATAATAATAGTGTACCATGTATTTATTGGGGATCTAACGAAATTCACTATCCAAGTGATGGTGCTGGATTTGCATTTTTCACTACACGTGTAAACATTAATAGACATTTTCCGCCAGCAAATTGCAGCTTTCTGAAAAATTATGACAAAAGTTGTATTGTTGATCCCAGACAAAAACCAGATAATGTTCTGGTTCAATCTATGTTGGATAAATCTTATATTGCCGACATTGAGAAATATACGGTATGCTGGTAATGATATTTTCTCCCTTCTTTCTTTGTTTCTCTCTCTCTCTTTTTCTTACCTTTTATTTATTAATTAAAAAAGATTATGGTCGAACATTCAATAAGAGGTAAAATAACAACAAAAACATATCGTAATGGACTTTTGAATGGTCAATTACTTTCTTCAGATGGTGAAACAGTAATAAAATCATGGACAAACGAAACCAGAGTGGGTTATAATTGATTAATAATAATATTATTATTCATGATTCATTATTCTAATCATGGCTTTTCTTTTATATAGACATTAAATGATCCAAGAGCAGATGGTGATATTATGACAGTTGGCGAATTGCTTCAAGCTGCTGGAGCAGATTTAGAAGGAATATCAGGAGCGCCTGGAGCTGATCCTGATGAAACTTTTAGAAGTGCGGGGATTGTTATAGTGATAATTATTGATTACAAGAATAATGTTTTAAATGTAAGTGGCTGATTAATTAGATGGATGGATGGATATGGAGTTGATTTTAATCACGATTTAATTTAATCAAATTGTAGCCGGATGAAATTAATTATCAATATTTACCACAAGTGATTGGAGGTAGTAGATATAAAACTGTAGAATCCATTTACAATGTGGCAGATGGATCTTACATTATAAAAAATAGACACGGGTAAATTTATTATTGTGATTTATTTATTTATATCATTTGCTATTTTTCTATTAGTAATATTTATATTAATACTTAATATATTATATAGCATCAGAATCACCTTTAAACAATATGGCAAGATAGGTGAATTTGATTTTATTTCATTATTAATAAATTTGGTTGCTGCAATTACATTATTTGTAAGTATTTAAAAGCAATTTTTTTATTAAATTTTATTAAATTTAATTAATTAATTATTATTTATTTTATTAAAAGAGCGTATCGACATTCTTGGTCGAATTCCTTATGTTGTATTTATTACCTGAGAAAAATCAGTATCAGGAGGCAATATTTGAAAGGACTGAAATTCAAAATAGTCCAGAAAAAATTTCATTATTATCAGTATTACCATTACTTAGATTATTTTCGTTTATTCCATTTATCTCGAGTAACAAAATACAAGACCAAGACCAAGTTCAAGTTCAAGATCAAGCTCGAGATAAAGTTCAAGATCTAGTTCAGGCTCAAATTCAAGATTAAAGCTCCATGCGAAACAGCTCACAAGCCAAATAACTTGATAAGCTCGCAGGCTGACTCGCAAGTCGAATGAGTTATCTGGATTGCAAACTGTATCACGAGGAGCTTTATTTTCATGATAATATTGAAATATTTCGTTATAATAGATATAAAAGGCAGATAATTAGAATAATTTGTAATGATATTAAATAAAAAAGCATTCACTCAATTTCATATAAATAAATAAACCTAATCATTATTCAATAACAGATTTAACTAACGATAACAATTAATAAATACCATTTTTGCATTCAGAGACCGTGACTAAGGATTCCAAAAATATAGATTTAAATTACAAAGTCTCCTTCTCCTGCAAAAGTTGTCAATATCGTTTAGACATTTACGGCATCCTTGATAAGAAAACTCATCTGATGAAAGTGTTCAAGATTCAATTTTCTCAATTAATGATATGTGACGAAACTTTTTGACTTTAGTCATTGACATGATTAAAGTATTCTAACTGGGAAGGTTAGAAAAATAAATAAATAAATGAACTTTAAAATTTAAGCTACATTTCTACCGATTTATTTTCTTAATTACCATAAAATTTCAAATGTTCAAAGTTGTGTTTTTATAAATTTCTCGCAGCTATTGGAGGCTTGAGTTATTTATTATTTTGGGGAGAATTTTCTTACACATCAATAATTTCAACAACAGTGTCAGGTTACAACATAAAACCTACCGCATACATGTAATGCTAATAGTTTAATTTTTTAATACTTCGATTAATTATTTTCTGAAATTGAAGTTTTCACTCCTCGCAAAGACCCGTTTGATAATAATATTTTCAGAACCAAAATTTTTTTAACTGGCATTATATGTGCTAGCATAAATTAATCATTGATATATGTTTTTCATTGATTCCATATTTTTCTTGGCACTTCAAAACAACTCATATTGCACTTAAATTATGGTTTTGAATTTTGTCATGACAGTAAATTTGTCATCTATTTGATTATATAGTGACGGCAATATAACAAAATAATGAATTGCATTGACTCATTATATATGCCATACAAAAAGTATGTAATAATAAAATTCAACCTTAAATCTATAGAGAATTTAAAGTTTTATCAAAAATAGAAACTGTTGGATATTATATAAAATATATTAATGAACTTTTGATTAAAACCAGAAAAGCTTTTTAAATTTCTCTCGCTCTAATAATACTTGGGGAAAAAATGGAGCATTCAATGATGAAAATGAAACATTGCCAAAAATAGCAAAAAGATCCAGAATTGATAGAGTTAAATGATGAAATTCTTTTTGCTGGTACTGAAGTTTTTATTGTGACAAGATGTGGGCTTGTAAAACAGATAATGTTAAAAATAGGATTTCTCACATGAAACGCTCCAAACAATTCGATTCAAACCGAAAAATTTCAGTTCGGTTTCGATTCGGTTTCGGTTTGACTAGATCTTCATATTTATATTATGAAAAGTTCACTCTCTCTACAATGAATTTTCGCCTTTGTTCGTTATAGAAGATGTTTGTTATACAGGCAGAGCTTGTTAAACCGAAGTCAACATTTTTACAAAAAAATCTTCAGTTTTAAAAAACCTTAATAAAATCGGCTTATAGAAAGAGATAATTTTTAATAGGTAAATAATAAAAAAACATTGGTTTATCATGTGTATTTATCTTATCAAAGCATCGTCTTGTTGAGTTCTGAATGTAGAGAGAAAAAAAAGAATCAGGGAATTCCATTATTATTATAGATAGATTTTACGTTATAGAGAGATAGTGTATAAATTCTATTAAAAAAATTATATTTGTGCGTGTGTGAAAAATTTTTTTATAATAAAAAAATTTATACCAATGGATAATGAATTCTTTAGTGAGGTGTAACCTAATTAAATACATGTTATAATGACTTTTAACATTTTTGAAATCCGTTATAACATGACTAATAAATTTGTTATTATAACGTATTTTAAATGTCTAAAATCCTTTATAACTTCATGTATATAGAAACAGGACCCTTCCAGCATTTTTACTTCGCAACACACATTCAGCCACAAGTCATTATAAGTTATTATGTTATGTTTATCTTTGCATGAAATTCTTGGTTCAAAAAACCGAACCGAACCGTTCGGAGCTTTAGTTGTGCGTAAAATCTACGCATGTGAAACTCAAATCAGCCAATCAGAATTTTGTATCCAAGCATCCACCACAAAATTTAATTGATAAATTTCAATTCACACAAATTTGAAATTCCTGATACTAATACAGCAGCACATTAATTAAATAGATCAGTTCTACGATGAGATAATACAGGCATTTCTCTTCTTATTTTATTTAATCTATTGAGATCAATTTCTGCTAAAGCAATTGATGGATCTGATGTGTCTGGACATCTTGCCAACACTGTTCCCCAAGGATCTATTATCTAAGTACAACAACAATATCAACCTTAATGTTATTTGACAAATAATTTTTTTTATAAAAATAAATAATATTTACCATTGCATTGCCAAAACTGGCACGTTTATGATCATGTTGACCAATTTGTGCACTAAAGAAGATAATTGTTTTAATAATATAATCATTAAATCAAAAATTATTCTTTCTCCCTCTTTAATACCTTGCCACAACATAAGTTTGAGTTTCGATAGCTCTGGCTCTTAATAAAACTTCTAATAATAATTTAAAAGGTATAATATTAATGATGATCAAAAAAAGTAAATGAATAAATAAAATATTAAATTAAAGATTGGTTGGTTACCCCAATGTGCTTGGCCAGTTTTAACAGTGAAAGCAGAAGGATAAGTTAATATGTCGGAGCCTCGTTTTCTTAATTCTAAAGATAATTCTGGAAATCTTAAATCATAACAAATCATCAATCCAATTTTTCCTAATGGAGTTGTTACAGGATCAATAATTTTTTCACCTTTTAAAGTTGTTTTACTTTCCAACATTTTTAACTCATTTCTAATTTCCACATCATATAAATGTAATTTATAATATTTCTCTATGATTATACCTTCTGAATTAATTAACAGATGTGCATTATATACATGATCCAAGTGTGAGCTCTTTATAAATAAATAGAGAATAAATCATATATTTATTTATATTTTATTTATTATAATATTAAAAAACATAATAACTCACTGTTTCATGCACACAAATTGACACCCAAATTTTTTGTTCTTTCGCAATATTTGAAATTGAATCAACAAAATTTTTTGAATATAAGGATGTTAAATTTGCTATTTGTTCTGAATTTGAGGTGATGAAATCTGATGCTTCAGGAAAAAATATCATCTATTTATAATCAATCAATCAATCAATCAATTTAATTGATAACTAATTTATTGTGTGAATAAGATTTCTTTACAAGAACAACAAACCTTTGCACCTCTTTGAGCACCATCTTTTAACAATTTGGTGCAAATCTCAAGGTTTTTTTCTGTGTCAATTGAAGCACAGAATTGTGCCACTGCTATCAAAGACATCGAATCAAGACAAGCTTTGCAAAGAATTAGCTGGGTGACGATCTCTAGTATAGTGATACAATCAATCTTATTTTTATTGCTTTCCAAAAAAAAATTTTTTATTTACATCAAAATGATTAAATAAATTAACAATAATTTTTTGTGTACCAAGTAGAAATATTTCTTTGTATAACGTATCTGTATTCCATAATACTGTAATATTTCAGTAATTATTAAGGATTTCAGTTTTTATCATTGGGGTCTGTAATTCCACTTATTCCATATCCCATCTTATTTATATTCCCACCTCAACTCAATCTCACAAATATTAATTTGATATAGATCTTATTTACATTCCCTTGAATTATATCCCTATCCTTAATTTTCTTGTTGATAAATTTCATAGGTAATCCTTTCTTTTTTCAAATAAACTTCCAATGTTTGAATATCACCTTGTTCTTTGGGTTCCATAATAGATCTGACGTAAATGAATTTCATATCAACTATATTGCCAATTTTTCTGCTGTAATTACACTATTAAAAATGAACCTTTTGTCTAAACAAACAAATATCATGATCACATTACAAATTGTGATGTTAAGCAAACATTAATGTGAGATCGAATTCCGTGTCTCACAGTAAATCTAATATTTATTTTAAATGCCAACAATGTTAGTACAATTTCTTCCAATTTATTTATACTAATCGTAACAACAATTTCCGCAAATGTATATATATTAATATGCTTTACTCTCGAAACTATCTTTCTATCATTAAACAATTCTTTATACTAACAATATTTTCTTTAGATTTTACACTTTCCTCTTTGCTACCAAGTCAGGTACGTCTCCAAACTTCACTAAACAAAATTTATTAAATATTATCTCACTAAAAGAAAGAAAAGGAATAAAAAATAATAAAAATAATAGAGACAAATACAAATAAGAGAAAATAATTATGCACGGAATTAGTAGTAATTTATTGTTAAAGATAGTTCTATTATCATTACGAGAATATAATATTCGAAGACAACATGGACAAGGACAAGGACAGTGTTATTTATTATTATAGACTTAAGAAAATTACAACGTTATTTATACATGTTAAAGGTTCTATCATCTAGTTTTCCGATTTCTTTGAAATCCAAATTTATGCTAATTAAATGGGACCGGTTTGAATTCTCGATCAGATTTGTCCGATTTTATTTTGTGCGTTTCCCGTCATATGTAAAATTACTATTTTACAATAACACTAAATGTTCATTTTGCTACAACGTGATCATATGAAGTTACATATCTTATATGGGTAAAGCTTTTAATTTTTGACATGTTATATTCTAAAATGGGTAAAAAGGGAAATTTTTTTTGAAAATTCTCTAAAATTTACTAATACTAATGGCTGAATGTTACCTCAATTATGTATTCTTGCACCCCCAAATTTTAGAGACCAACCATAGATCATTTTAATTTTAAAAATGAATGCCTTTATGAAGAAAAAACTTGGCGAGAGCTTTATTAAATGGCCATACAACTTCCAAAATTATAATGTCATAGGCAGAAGCTTGTCTGATTGGCTAATTTTGCTGATCAAATTCAATTGAGTTCGCATATTATTTATATCAGTGTTGTCAGCGGACGCGGACATGGACACGGACTGTCCGTGTCCATGTCCGTCACTTTAAATGTCCCGGACTATTTTTGGACAAAAATATAAATTTTTGCCTACAACCTCCTTCTTAAAGCTTTGGTGAATCTGTAAACACTTTATGGTACAATTAACAAAGCAATAAAGCTCCTGTAGAGTTCCTTT